GTCCTGGAGATAATTGGGAAGTAATCCAATTATCTCCCAGGACAGAGGCAAAACTCCATTAACCACATGGCAGTAAAAAGACAGGATAACCCTTTAAAATATGCAAAGTTACATTTTATACATGAAATACAGACATGTCACATATCCCCAGATAGCTGGGATCTGAGCGCACAAAAGTACCGAATAGCGCTCAGATCCTATGCTCACTGTCCAATCGCCGTGGAGTCAAAGTGTTCACAAAGTCTGTTCTCCATATGAATAGACTCCATGGGATGGCTATCTGGGGTAATGCTTTTCATACGGTTTAAACGACCGAATGAACAGGCATCAGGTTAAATGACCGAATGCAGAAGCAAGGAGGCTGACGGCTCAGCGGTGTTCGCGCAAATAAGTGTCCATTTACAGTTCCATAGTTTGGGCGCTGAACACCGCTGGCCGTTCGGGACTTTAAAATGGCCACCGTCACATGTTCGGCAACCGAACAAAGGCCACCCAGCATTCGTCAATTAAGCTGCGGTTAACCGCAGCTTCTGGGAGGTAAATTGCCGACACACTCCAGCTCCCAGGTGGTCCAGTCATTCGTGCGTTAGTTCGGTAGATTGAATTTACCGACCGCCGGGCAGAAAGGCACGAATAAGCCTTTTCTGCCAGGGGAAAGAAGGCTTTTAACATGGGGCCATAGTCCAAAGGTAACAGGCGAGCAACCAGGCTTCTCCAATGCAATGTGGTGAGATTGGTCTCGTCACAGAGTGATAGGAGGAGTTATAGGGAGAGTTATATGAAGTAATAGGAGGAGTTATAGGGAGGGTTATATGGAGTAATAGGAGGAGTTATAGGAAGGGTTACATGCAGTAACAGGAAGAGTTATAGGGAGGGTTACATGGAGTAATAGGAGGAGTTATAGGGAGGGTTATATGGAGTAATAGGAGGAGTTATAGGGAGGGTTATATGGAGTAATATGAGGAGTTATAGGGAGGGTTATATGGAGTAATAGGAGGAGTTATAGGGAGGGTTATATGGAGTAACAGGAGGAGTCATAGGTAGGGTGATATGAAGTAATAGGAGGAGTTATATGGAGGGTTAAATGGAGGGCTATATGGAGTAATAGGAGGAGTTATAGGGAGGGTTATATGGAGTAATAGGAGGAGTTATAGGGAGGGTTATATGGAGTAATAGGAGGGGTTATAGGGAGGGTTATAGGGAGTAATAGGAGGGGTTATAGGAAGGGTTATAGGGAGTAATAGGAGGAGCTATAGGGAGGGTTATATGGAGTAATAGGAGGGGTTATAGGGAGGGTTATATGGAGTAATGGGAGGGGTTATAGGAAGGGTTATAGGGAGTAATAGGAGGAGTTATAGGGAGGGTTATATGGAGTAATAGGAGGGGTTATAGGGAGGGTTATAGGGAGTAATAGGAGGGGTTATAGGAAGGGTTATAGGGAGTAATAGGAGGAGCTATAGGGAGGGTTATATGGAGTAATAGGAGGGGTTATAGGGAGGGTTATATGGAGTAATGGGAGGGGTTATAGGGAGGGTTATAGGGAGTAATAGGAGGAGTTATAGGGAGGGTTATATGGAGTAATAGGAGGGGTTATAGGGAGGGTTATATGGAGTAATAGGAGGAGTTATAGGGAGGGGTTATATGGAATAATAGGAGGAGTTATAGGGAGGGGTTATATGGAATAATAGGAAGAGTTATAGGGA